TTTTTTTTTTAGCTGCTGGATACAACACTGTTTTGGGCCAATTAATCAYATTTCCCTAGCAATATTGGGAAGCTGTGCATTTTCTCCCTTGTAGTTTCTTGCCTGGATGAAGCAATGATCCAGCAAGAACTGCACATGACCTTTGCCCCCAAGTGGCTGGAACAGGATTTAGGAAAATACTGATACTCACTTAGGTATTGAGTGATGGTACCGGACAAAAGTGGCTGAGAAAAGAGTCACTCCTTGTAGGTTGACTGGCTCAAGAACCCATTTATRTTTTGACTGCAGCAATCCTCTAGAAAGGACAATTCTTAATAAATATTTCCCTGTGGGATTTTACTCAGTGTTCTGCTCTCTATGTACTCAAGTAGAGCCCGACCTCCTCATCATCAGAAGCACTTCATCCTGTAGCCAGTGGAGCTGGTACCTGCTCTGTCAAAACAGAGTGTAGGTCTAAATAGCTTCCCTTGTCCTTTAGGAACTATTAATAATTAATTCTAGATCCTCTTGTGTCATTAAGCAGCTTTAGGGCACCTTGTACAATGTAGCTTTGAATTCATTTAGTAAACGACCTCCAGAAGAGCTAAAAAATTCTTTCCTATGTACAGCAAGGTCCAGTTCCAGGGGTTTTGATGACCTGTAAATATCCTATTCCTCAGTTCCTGTTCAGATGTAAAAAATGGATTTTTTTTTCAGTATTTTTTTAAACTTTATTAAAAGAACAGCAAACAGTATTTGAAGAGAAGCAAGATAGAGACAAGTCAGGACAGTCTGTGTAACTTGGTTTCCCTGCTGTGATGCAAATGTGTAAAATAAAGATTGACCAGAAAGAAGTTTTTAATGCATCTCATTTTCTCCTCCTGAACTGCCAGCAGCCCAGCTGACCCWTTGATCCAAAAGTCTGCATTTCCCTGTGCTCAACTTCAGTTTCCAGCTATCACCATCTGCATCATGGATACAGGGCCACATCACAACACTTCTTTTGAAGAGAAAACCTTCCCTGTCAKTGACCCACAGTTGGGCTCACTGAGGTGCCTTTCCTTGAGCTCCAGGTACTGGAGGTGTGCTTGGATGTGCCCAGCTGCCCTTTTAGGTTTGTAAGCTGAACTTAGGCAGCAGTTTGTGGACTGAGTCTTAAAGAAACATGTTTCTCACAGCCCTGTGCTCTCTGTGTGCTCTGGTGTCAGTTTGCCAGGCAAGGGCAGATGAGGAGCTGATGTTCTGAACCTTGGTGTCCAGATACAAATTAGAGGAAAAACKTATTTGTGAAGTAATATCTTGTGTGGATCTGGCCAYRYCATCTCAGAGGGGCAAGTCCTTKACCTGTTTCAGGTTAAACTGATGGYGATTTGGGACTTCTGTAGTGCTCTTCCTGAGATGTTGGGATCTAACCTTGCATTTCAGTTCTGCAAACTGGTTAGGTTGGCAGGGATGAGGAGGGCACAGCACTCCTGTCARGTGTTCTTCCTGATAATCCCTCATCCCTCAAAAGCATATGTCCTGCAGCACGAAATTCGAGTCTTCAAGATGTTTCTTACAGTTCAGCCTGTGGTTCTCATCCTACCACCGAGGGGTAATACCAGAAATAGCCCGTGTTCTCTACCCTGCACCTCCCAGGCAGCCAGTTCTGTGTTGCCTCAAGCCTCTGGGTGGGTGGTGTTTTACCAGAGAGCTAAAATATAAAAAGTGCTTGGAGTTTGGGTTTCCTAACACCCCACGGTAGGCTGGCACAAACCCTGTGGTTTAGGTGGCCACTAGTTGTTGCACTGGGGTGGCCTAAATCTCTTTTATGCAGTTTTTTCCAAACTGAGCATCCTCTGCTTATTCTGTATTTGGCTTTAAAACATTCTACTTAGCCTTCCCTGACAGCAGCTCTGAGACTCATCCCTGGAGTTGCCTGCACTGAGCCAAAACATTCCTCAGCCATAAGGAAAGRTGAAATGTTAGGGGTGGATTGGGTAAGGTGAGATGAATTGTGGGAACACTCGCTTGAGAAGGAGACCAAAAGAAGTTATCCGTGGAAGAATTGATTTCTGATCATCTTCTCCAAGGAGACACAGAAGAACTCCCAGTGTCTGAGGTCTGCTGCAAGCAGAGGTCATCTGGCACAATCACACAGGGAGCAGAAGAAACAAAACCAGAGCTAACAAAACTTTCCTCAGTGTTCTGCCTTTGGATGCAATTTTGTAGGTGTTTTCCTGTCCAGGGGAGGTAAATTGTTCTGCCTGCACTAAGGTTTTTCTTCCAGAGTCTGAAATTCCCAGCTGTCTGATCATTTGCAGCTCCTCATTGCAGTCCTGGCTGCCTGCTGTCAGTGCTTTTGCTTGAGCAAGGTTATCTTCATGACTGCAAAGAGCTGCCTTCTCCTTAAATCCTGCTTCTGCCTTCCTTTTCCTTCTGACTGACAGGCTTTAATGAGGGGAGAGTGTTATAGTGCCCTGTATAGTGAGCGGTCAATAAAAACCAAATTGCTTTGTACAGCAGAGGTAATAACACAGCTTGTATTGGCACAGCTGATGCTGATATGGGGGCCCTTGGTTAGGAGACAAGGGCTTTCTTCTGTCTTAAATAGTAAAAAAATGTGTGTCATCCATTCCTTTTCTTCCCTCTCACCCATGAAAATGGTGTAATTGGGGGTGACARTGCTTTGTTGTGGCTCTTCTCCCCTGTGGGATATTTTCTGTGGGGTGGCACAATTGAGACACAATACATGAGATGGCTCTTTGTGAAAAAAATGAACAGGCATGTGAGGTGAGGTTGTTACAGGGCTGGCAGGTGGAACAGGTGAGGATCAAAATGGAAGGGATGGCTTGAAATTCCTTTTACTGCTCCTTCTTAGGATGATTGTGCTGCGCTTGACAAGAGCATCCTCGATGAAAGGAGCAGTTAAAACATGGGTCAACTGTGAGTGTAGTAATAAGTTTTGGGGGTTTTTAGTCCTTAAGGATATTGCTCTGGGGTGCAGATCTTCTGTATGGCCTCAGTCCTGAGTCATTGATAAGGTGGCACAATATCCCCCAGTATCCCATATCCCTGGGAATGCACCCCCTGCTTACTGCAGATGTGGCAGAGTCATTGTCAGTGYTCCAGCTGTCTCTTCCCTGAACTGCTGGGAATCTTTGTTCTGCAGGAGCTCTGTGAAACTGGAAGGAATCCTCCACCCAGCACAGCTGTGAAGGTATTGATCTGCCTCCCCCTGGAGAAGCCAAACTTGTTCATTTTGGGACGGATCTCATATCACAGGGCAGTAGCCAAACTGGAGGGGCTACAAAGAACAGCTGCAGTGACTGAGACGAAGGAATTGGGCAATGGCAGAAGATTACAAGAATTAAAGCTGTAAGCCTGACTAAGTGAYGATTAAAGAAAGCTGAGAAGATGCAGCTCAGTACAAAATGGCTGCATGGGGGGAACCCACAGGAACGGRTTTGGAATTCATTTGTGAAAACTGGGCTGTGCAAAGGTGAGATGCAACAAAAGCACAGGAAAGCAAGACGTCAGGAGAAACCTTTTGCCAATGAGTTTGGCTGCAAACAATCTCCCTGGAGAAATGGAGGCAGTTCTGTGTTGTTTTAGATAATCAGCACTAGGCTGGACAAATCATTGCTAAATACACTGCAGGGAAGGACCCCTCGTGGGCTGTGAGCTGGATGAAATGCCTGCCTCGGCCGTTTTCCATTTGCTTATCTCCGTGGGAAGTATATTGCGTGCATAATTCCTGGTTTGGGGGGTCATTTTAGTTTCACTGTTAAACCTTGCAGATGCTCTCCATAGGAGGAACACGTTGGAGTGAAGCTGGTTGGTGTGTGCCCTAATCTGTATTCTGAGTCAGTCAGGGTTTTAACTGTTGCTGCAAAATCTGAGYGGAAATATCTGCTGGGATTTACCAAGCACACAATGCCCGAGTGTTGCCATGAATCAGAGCAGCCTTATGGGAGGCAACAATTCAAACTCTTATTAAACAGGCACAGAATTTGAAGAATATGTATATCAGGTGGATTTTGTATGTTTGAATGTTTTCGGGGATTGTGGTTTGGTTTGGTTTTGGTTTTAACGATTGCAGGGTAGGATTTGGGTGGACAGGCATCACTGGTGAGAGAAGTCTGACTGTAAGGTTTGCTTATAAAGCTTGCTCATGGGACTTATGTCTTGTTTTAAAACCAGAGCAGGTCAGCAGCACCAGCCCCAGCAGCTGCTCCGGCCTCCACGTGTCCACAGCAGACAGAGCCCAGGGGCTGACGGGGCAATGCAGGACTCGTGGGTGACCAAGAGGCTGATTTCTGTCTGGTTTGTGCTGTGGAACCCACCACCACACCCSTTCCCTCTGCACGCTCAGAGCTCAGCACGGAACGGACACCGCGCTGCCTTCGGAGCAAACATCTGGGCAGGATCACAGAAGAGCTGGAAGCCACATGACCTCCCTTTATTTTCAAGGTTCTTACAAATATGTATATTTTTCAAAAGCTTTGTTCTGCTCCAAACCTCAATCTTTCAGATTTAAGGACACTTCTCTCACAGATGTGGGGTTTTTTATTTAAAAACGCTCAAGTCACCTGCACAGTGTGGAGAACAATGTGGAGAGCAGCTTCTCCAGCCCCTTTTCCAGTCCTGAGGGTGCTGGTGGATGCTGCCAGGAATMTTTGCTGCAAAATGCTGCTGCAGCCTCTGTGACTGTGATCTTATCTCACCCAGACAAAGTGCACAGCACTCCTTGGTTGTCCTTATGAGGAGCTTTTTATTTTCAGTCTGTCTGGAATCAAGCCTTGGCTGAAGGCTCAAGGTGGCTGGGCTGAGCTCTGCAGGACGAAGGCAAGGAGCAGAACAAGGGTGGTTTCCCAATTGCCAGCCGGGATTTGTGATGTGCCATGAACGAAGATCCACAAAACCTCCTCCTGCCTGGCTTTGTCTCAACCCAACCCTGCCTGCAAAGTGCAGGCAACGGGAGAACAGCTGATGAGTTCACCACAGCCACCCTTCCCGGGTTCCTGCATTAGCATAACAATTACAGCCCCAGAGGCTGTAAAGAGAATGCAGGCTTTAAAAAATAAACTAGAATTTAACAGAGAAATTAATAGCGTAGCAAATTGTAACGCTCAGCGCATCGGCTGCGTGTCAGTCTCGAGCGACAGCTGTACGTGCAGCCTTGGCACAACTGTGATTTCCAGACCTTCCGCTGCATTTGGCCATCATTTCAATATCTGCACTTCCATTTCCTGGGGAAAGAGCCTGCAGGGCACCATTCCCGCTGCCACTTACCCAAAAACCTGGTTGTGTTTTGTGTTTGTTGCGTTTCTCTGAAGCGATGCGGTGTATTGGCATTAAAATGCTGTGCAATAGAAATTAATTCATAGCAGTGATAGCCAGCAGAGCTGCTAGAGTCTGAGTCTTGGAGTGTCTTGAGTTGTAAATCTTGAAYTTTGAGGGCTTTCTTATTTAGTCACACATAGCTCAGCCATCAAAGTAGCTGGTAAATGCCAGTGCTGGGTGCTTGCTGTGACCTGCAGGGATACCAGGGGCGAGCAAGAGCAGCTCACTCGCATCTTGTCAAGCTTAAAACAGCTCCAGGAACACCCTGGTTGGTGAGCTGGAAGCTGTGGCGTCCCGTGGAAAGCTGCTCGCAGCCTGGAGCTCATCCTCATGTAAAACGGCTGTAATCTGAGATGCGGGTGATGCCTGGGACGCCGAGGGTGTCCCCAGGACGAGCAGATGCATTCCTGCGCTTGTGGCTGCTGCACCAGGATGTTGAACTCACTCTGATGGCATTTTGTTCAAATCCTCTGGAAAAGCAGCTATTTTGGTGGCTCTCTGTGCCAGCGGTGGCCATGGCTTGTCTGGGGGAGCAGCCAGCACTGATGCCAACAATTCCTTTGGCTCTTTTTCTGACTGAGTCAGATCACTCAAGCATTAACCTTAAAATAGCAACTATTTTTGTAGCTGATATAATTAATCTTCTCTGTGTGTATGTTCCTTCCCCATTCCAGGCTGATGCTTCACCACTCCCCTGCTGACCCACTCCTGCTTTGGCACAAGAAAGCTCTGAGCAAAACTTGGCTTTTCCACAGAAAAAAAGCACAAACGACAGGCTGTGTGTGCTCCGCTCCGTGAGTTCACTGCCAGACTGGTGTCTCCAGTCGCAGATTCCTCGCTCATGTGGTCTGTTGGTTTTGGAGCATCTTCTCGATCTGCTTTTTGGGTGGGTGGATGTGGAAGGGGGATGTTCACAAGCTGACAGGACCGGGGGTGACACTGGCCACAAAGACAACCGTGATGGATGGGTGGGTGGGTGGATGTGTGGGTTTGGTGATGCAGGAGGAAGAAGCGCTCTGGAGAARCCTGAAGCCTGAGCGGACCCTGTGTGGCGCCTCGTCCAACCCTGGGAAGGGGAGGAGCGAGGGAGGGGATGGGATGGACTAACAGGGTCCATCCCCTGCCTCTCTTCTCCCTTCCCAGGGACAGCTTCTGTGTCAAAGCACAGCCGAGAGTGGAAGTGTGCTGCACTGGGTACTACCCCGTCCTCAATTTTCCTCCTCACAAACAGCTCCAGCCATGCCCAGGGTGGGATTCGGAGGGTGCAGTGCTTGAGCTGTGTGACACGCTGATTTTTTAGGTCTGAGCACATCAATGAGGAGGATGAAGGGGGAAAGAAAAGACCATTTGTGATGAAGCACAGAGTGAGCACACGAGATTGGGGCCGACTGTACCTCGCTGCTTGCATGCAGTGCTTTTCCCACGAGGCAGCTGCAATCCTGGCAATTAAATCAGGAAGGATGCGTTGGGGAAAACCCCCGTGATGGCGTCTGAGGATGCTGATTAAATGTGCACAGCCTGGCRAGCCCACGTGGAACAAAAGGCTGCGTGGCTCAGCCTGACAGACTCRCTGTGTCCTGGGGAAAAGGAACTCTGGGGTTTTATTAAAATCTTTCAAGTAGATACCCGAGGAAGGAAAATCTTTCTGCAGACACACACTCGGCTGTGCAGCCCACAGAGCTCCCAGCTTTTACAGTCAGAACGTGAAGCATCAGATCCACCCCAACCTCCAGCACTGRCGTGGCAGGAGAGGTAACAGCTTCCCTTTGAGCAGGAACCCGTTCTGACCACAGCAGCAACAGCAAATATCGCCCAGGGAATGATCATTTCCATGGCTGCACTGTGGGGATCAGACAGCRGAAGCCCTGCGAGCGGCACACGTTGCTTAATCAAAAAGCCAGCCAGGGTCAGGGCTGGCTCTGAGCTTGTCCTGCAGTCGCTGGTGAAGGGGAGAGTGAGCACTGCCTGAGGTCTGTCTTGGAAGAGAGAGCCAGGGGGATTTATGAAGCAAAACTACTCTCAAGGACTGGCCTGCTTTGGATTTTCCTCTGAGCAAACAACCCAGCTCCTTCCCGGGCACACTGACCACATTTTGTGATTGTTTTGTGCCCCAGTCGCTGTTCAGATTCCAATCCTGTCGGCCCCAGGAGTCTTTCCAGGCTGGGGCTGTGTTTCTTTGCCTCCAGAAATGTCACTTTATCCTAGAAAATGTCACTAGTGTTGTTATTTAAACAGTAATAGGGTTAAAGCTAATAATTGGGAAGTGAAAGTGACTGGCTTGCATAGTTTCCGATTACTTTTCTCCTCTCGTCTGTGTGATYTGAGCTCTCTCCTCAGCGTTCTGCGTAGTGGAGGCAGGGGAGAGTTTTAAATAGAATTAAATCCTTTCAACATCASTTTTTGCAGCAGCAGAGCCTGTGCTAGAATGCCTGTGCCGTGCAGGGAAGGTTTGGGACCTCGCTGGACCTCCAGCCGGGCACGGACAGGTCATTCTCTGCACACAACAGGACACTCCTGCTGCRATGTGGTTACAGCTCAGGGACCACAGATGGAGGGAAATACTGAAAAAAAAAATCGTTTTGCTGATGGAAGTAAAGAAAGGACTGCACAGGACATTTTTGCAGCACATTTGGGGACCAGACTGGAATCTGCTGAGGCCTSTGTTGCAGTGGCAGGCAGGCTTTTGTCCCTAAAAGCCATGCAAATGTTGGAAGGATGACTGGGAGGGATGCTGGAGGGGAGACACAGCCTCACAGAGCTCTCAGTGCCACATGCTGCCACTCCCCTGTCACTCAGTGCCATCCCTCCAGCTCATCCCCCGGGCTGTGCCGCTGCTGGGACATGGAGATGGTGTTTTTATCCTCTTCTGCCTTAATGAGCTCGTTCGTATGAACCTGGGTAATGGAGGACGAGGCATTTTAGAAACATCCACTTGGGGAATGTATCCCTGGAGAAGTGAGTGTCAGGCAACGTTTGGCTGGTTACAAACAATAAAGGTGCAAAGAGCAGCGCTGTGTCAGCTGTGCTCCTCGGTGTCCCCTGCAAACAGCCCGTGTGTGCTGTGCTGGGCTCTCCACAGCCTCCAGAKGGGTTTGGCCTATCCAGGCACAGATTTTCCCCTTCCTCGGCTGCTCCCACAGGAGCCCAGGCATGCCCCGACAGCTCCAGCAGGGCCTTCATTGCAACACAGGCGGGAAGGAAACTGTATTTATCGTGTCCATCGGTACAGCCCCTGACTGCACACAGACATGGAGCTGTGCAGGCACAGAGCCCTGCAGGGGTTTGAGGTGGGGAAAAGCCGCTGCTTTGAACACTTGTATGGTTTCCTAGGTGCACCACAAACCTGTTGGAGGTTGAATCTGTGGGGTTTTTGAAGTGAYTGAAATTGGTCTCCCTCTGTACACATTGCACAGTGTGAGTGAAGCTTGCAGGAGCCCTCGTGTGAGAATCACTGAAGGG